TAAATGATGTTGCAGACCTCTTTCCCGACGCAGAGCATAGGCATTGTGCTAGACATATTTTTGTAAATTGGAGGAAGGTTTATGGACAATCAGAGTATGAAGATTATTTATGGGCAATCGCATACAGCTTCACTAAAGGTGATTATCAGTTCAATCTGAACGCTTTGAAGGTGTTTGATGCAGAAGCACATGAAGACTTGCTGAGAACAGAGCCGAAGTCATGGTGTAGAGCATTTTTCAGTGGACATGCGCGATGTGAGGATGTTTGTAACAACCTCTCAGAAAGTTTCAACAGAACAATCAAGGAAGCTCGTAAGTTGCCATTGATTAACATGCTTGAGGAGATTAGGAGACTTGCAATGAAGCGTAATTCTCGAAGGCGTGAGAAAACAAGTCGATGTACAATTCCATTTCCACCGAAGATCATTGAGATATTGAGCAAAACCACAAAGCAAGTGACCACTGCACAGTCATTAAAAGTAGTTAAAGCTTATATGAAGTCACTGAGTTTGATTGTGGCTACGAGGTATGACTTCCGGAAAAGCATTGTGCTTGTAATAAATGGGACATCACTGGAATACCTTATCAACATGCTATTTATGTGATAAATGAGCATAATAAAGAGCCTGAAGAGTGAGCTTCTAACTCTATCTCTCTTTGATGAGTATTATTTGTTTGTGATATATAGGTTCTAACTCTATCTCTCTTTGTAATTTGTAACTTTGTTGATCTTTACTATCTGACATCAAGGTGGCAAAACACTTACGAGAACAACATAAAACCTGTCAACGGTGAGAGATTGTGGGAGAAGACATGTAAAGAAGCTAATACAAATCCCTGAAAAAGGAGAATGCCAGGACGTCCGAAAATTATGATACGAACAAGGAGGCACATGAGTCAAAGACAAATCCAACAAATGTCAAAAGAGAAGGAAGAAGGATGACATGTAGCAACTGTAAGCAAACATGTCATAACTGTGGATCTTGTACTCTATAAGCTGCTCATGCTGCTCCTAAATGCAAAAGAAGATGACCAAAAAAGACTAAGGTTAGTTACAAGTTGATTTGCATGTTTTTTTTAGTTTGTTGATGTGTGAGTTAAAGTCGATATGCTTTTGTTAATAAGGATCCTTGGAGCATTCAAAATGCACCGAAGAAGAGGAAAAATGCTTAAAGCCCGTCCACACCAAATCTGGTCAGCACACAGCCTTGTGTTGATCCACCACCTTCAACTGCTCAAGCTGCTAGAGGACGTGGTGGCCGTCCCCGGAGACGAGGAAGAGGCCGTGGTCAAGGTCGCAGATGTGGGCATGAGAGCATGTACAACGCTAGTCTTTTATGAATCCTTGGCGTCAATACATATGCAAAGGACCAATTAAAAACAATAAAAAAAATTTGTGAGCCAAGGATTGATCCTTAGATAAGGAGTTTAAGGGTCAAATCCTTAACTACGTGGCATCTTCTTCCCAATCTCTCTCTCGCCTTCCATTTGAGTTCTCCTCTTTCTCTTGATTTCCTTCTTCTCTTTTTGCTGCAAGAGAAAGATTTGAGGTTATGGAGATGCCCATTACCCTTGTACTGTAAAACCATGGTTGGTGTTATCAACTTCTTCGGACAAAATTAGTGTTTCATTCAAGTTATCCAAGCTTTCGTCTCAGATAATCTCCGTACGGAAAATTTGGCAATCTTCCCCGTATGTTATATCCATCTACTCTTGAATTGATTTCATATCTAATTCCAATTTTGATTTTCTAGGGTTTCTCTCTGATTTTTGTAACCTTATCTCTCCAATTTAATTGAATTTCAATTTTGACAACAAAGATTATCACTTTCCTGTTTAGGAGGTTTTCTTTAATCTGCAAGAGAGACACAAAAATGGTTAAGCGTGGTAATAATAAGAGAACTCATAACCGTAACACCAGAGACGACAACAACAATAGGAACCAAAAAAGAAGACTTTCACACCAAACCGAAGAAAACAACAACAACAAAGACGATCTCGTCGTCTACAGAATCCTCTGCCCGAGTAGTCAGTGTTCTAATGTGATTGGTAAAGCTGGTTCTATGGTTAAGAAGGTTAGGTGTTACCGAAGAGAGCTTAATGGATAGGTTAGGCACTAATATGCATGAAGCTTGCCTCAAGATTGATAAAGAATGTAGAGTCTTAACAGTTCATGGATCAGAGGATGAGTTAATACCAATGTCAGATGCCAAGGAGTTTGTGAAGATCATACAGAATCACAAGCTGGAGATTGTGGAAGGAGCAGATCATGGTTATACGAATCATCAAAGTCAGTTGATTTCAACTGTTATGGAGTTCATAAAGACAGTCATTGTCAAGAACATCTAGTCTTTTTTTTATTCCTTTGAGAAATGTTAAATAAACATTACATACTTCACATTTGTGTCTGCAAATAAAGGTGAAACATTGATATAAGAAGTTTTTTACTATGACAGGTGATGAGTGATCCTAGTGATTCAATTGCAGGAGCTGGGTAATTATTTGGCACTCACACATCTCTTCTACTTCACAAGAGAGCTCTGCTAATTTAACATCAGGTAGAATTAACAAGACCAATATGTCATGTTTATGTTTCAGTCTTCTTTACCAATGCTTGGTGGTTTATTAAAAAAAGATTGACATTTAGTTTCTTTGTAGCTTTCCTGCCTCACGGACTACGGTCTCAGAGATCTCCATGATCCTCACTCAGCTGAAGACACAAGTGCAGCAGCCTCTCTCTTCTACAAAGCTCCAGAGTGCAGAGAGGCACGCAAGGCCTCGACACAGCGGCAGCAGCGGTGTTGTCATCTTTTAACAGCGATCATTCACCAGGGAGATGGTCGGATACAGTTCAGGTACGTACACATTCTGGAAAAAAAATCTAGTTGCAGCTTCAATGGTAAATCACTAACTTAGAATATGTATGTGGTTTTATATAGTGTGTTTCTAGAATATATGAAGAACTTATTCTAGCATCAAACTGTGACTCAACATCTCCTGATTGCTATATGAGCTTCTTTGTATCTTTTTATCAATGGCTAGCCACTTAACAAACCACTAGAAAACAAGGTTTGTTTAGTTACACATCTCCCTCTTTTAATCTTTTATGTTACTTGGAATCTAAAGATTGATAATGTGTAGTGACTTTTGTAAGAAATGTTTTACAAATTTTATAATTTTTAATTTCTAAGATTCAGTTCAAAAAAAAAACTAAAGAATTCCATAACGGATAACACCATTGGACATACATTTATGATAAGAGTCCTTAACTATTCAAAAAAGTAAAAAATAAAAAATAAATTAATATTTTAGTGTTAAGGACTCCAATGGTGGGTAACACCATTGGAGTTGCTCTGAGCCTCCTGTTCCAAGAGAGTCTGGTTGCTACATTGGTCCTTTCTCTGGTCGTGTATTTGACGTATGGGGGTCTACTGTTGTAGGTGATCAGAATTCACAAGACTCTCAACAACAACCTCAAGACTCTTAGGCTCTATCTCTATTGTACTTTTTTCACTTTTGAAACTCTATAGGATGATCTTCTTTTGGTTAGATGTTTTCTTGAACTTAAGATTATCTATGTTATGTTTTATTTAATAGAAATCAGGAAGAAGACACAAATCTAACAACAACTAACATAAACTTCATTGATGAAAAGGATGTAACTACAATCTCCAAGAAACCAACACACATCCATCGAAAACATAAATTCTAATGAAACATGACAACAAAACACAAACACTGAGGAAACATGACAAACCGAAGCAGAAACATAAATCCTAATAAAACATGACAACAAAGACATAAATTATAACTACTTCTTCACCATGATAACAGCCATGATGATTATGACAACAATGATGCCTCCCCACGAAAGACCAATAAATTACCTTAACAATTTCTCATTTTCAACTGATGTTATAAGTGCAATTTTAAGTTTTTCCTTCTCCTCTGCGAGTCTGTCCCCTTCCTCTAACAGTAATGCAGTTGAATCTCCAGTTGTGGCTTCTTGAGGATTTGTCTTAAGCAATTGTTTAAGACTTTTTATTTCTTCTCTCTGACGATCCATCACGCCTCTGGCCTCCAGTAAACTCTGTTTTTGCCATTCATTTTGCTCCTTCTTATCAACCCAATCCACGAACCCATGAGAATCGCATAGCCAAAACCTTCAACCTGGATTGTCATCTGTCCATGCTTTCGCCGTACTCGTTCGCTTCTTACAGTAGCATAAGGGACCATCAAACTTCTTTTTATATGATGACCTTGCGCCTTCACTCGAACCTTCACTTTTAGCCATCGATTTGGAGGTTTCTGAGAAAAAAAATAAGAGAAGAACAAAATTAGGATTTGTTCTCAATCGATTTGGGGATTTTTATGAAGGAATCGGGTTTTTAACAATTTAATCACGTGTTAACAGAAGCTATTAACAGCGTCTTAATTCTCTATTAAATAGACTTAACGCCGTGAAAATTAAGGTGTAAACCCTCCGAAATTCAAAACTTCATGTGTTTTATAGGTAACAAATTTAGTTGGTGTATTAATTGGGAAGTCCAAAAAATTCCGTTAATTTTGTAACAAATATAATTCAGTTCGTGTATTTTTAAGAAATTTTCCCTGACAAAAAAAGGATATATAAACTTATTTCGGTTCAATTTAGAGTAGATAATAACACCCAAAACCGAACCGAATTACCCGAATTCTAGACTAATACCAAACCGAAAAAGGAGCACTTTTCCCGTATATGCATTTGTTTGTTTTAGTGAGATTTTCTAAAGGCCCAGCTTCGGTCATTTAGTGAGAAGGGTCTACATATAAAAACCAGCTTTTATCACAACTTTTATCCATCGGCCCAAAATGCGTTTGGGCTGGGTTATTTCACGAGGAGGATAAATTCGTAATCCAAACCGGCATATATAAACTCTAGGTTTCGTCACACCTTTCATTCCACTCCAAAAAAAACCCTAAAAAAAAACTCATTTCACAGCGCCGCACACTCCACAACCATGCCACCGAAGTTGGACCCGAGCCAGATCGTGGACGTCTACGTCCGCGTCACCGGAGGAGAAGTCGGAGCCGCCAGTTCCCTCGCTCCCAAGATCGGTCCCCTCGGTCTCGCCCCCAAGAAGATCGGAGAAGACATCGCCAAGGAGACCGCCAAAGAGTGGAAAGGGCTCCGCGTCACCGTCAAGCTCACCGTTCAGAACCGTCAGGCTAAGGTGACGGTGGTTCCGTCCGCAGCTGCCCTCGTCATCAAGGCGTTGAAGGAGCCGGAGAGGGATAGGAAGAAGGTGAAGAACATCAAGCATAACGGTAACATTTCGTTTGATGATGTGATTGAGATTGCGAGGATCATGAGGCCTAGGTCGATTGCTAAGGAGCTGAGTGGGACTGTGAGGGAGATTCTTGGGACCTGTGTCTCTGTCGGGTGTACTGTTGATGGCAAGGATCCCAAGGATCTTCAGCAGGAGATTCAAGAGGGTGAGATTGAGATTCCTGAGAACTAAGGAAACGGAAGTTGTTGTTGTCTTTTTTTAAATTAGAATGACTCAGTTTTGGATTTTGTTGTTGCGTTTTCTTGTCTTTGTTTCGAGAACCCTAAATGCTTTACTATCGGAATCTGAGATTGCATTTGATGTTTCTATGCTATTGCTTTCTTAAAGTTTGGGACTTTATTCTGTTTTGGATTTTGATTGTTTCTTGATTATGATAGGCTGCTTATTGATGTTAAGAAGTATGTTAGGGTTCATTCCATAGTTATCCTTAGCTATCATCTCTTCTTCGGTTTTATTGTGAATCTGTCTTTCTGTCTTGTGTTCATGTTACTCTTCCGTCTACATTCATATTATTGAATATCGTTGGTCTTTATGCTGCTTGGCTTCCGGTTATGTTGTGATTGTGTTAATGTTAAGTGAAGCTTTTGTATGTAGTCATCTAGTTAGAGTGGATAACATGGACAATTTGATATCATATGTATATAGTTTTTGGCTGAGTTTATACGGTAGCAAATGTTTAGTGAAGCTTCTCAGTTGTTTGATTGTGAGAAACATGAAACATGTTGTTTTCTTAAGTCTTGGCTCCTCGAATAGTTCTTGTTTTGTATACACATGTTAGATGAACATGCACCCACATTATCAAATTCAGTCGTTCGAAACATTTCTCAGAGAGTTCAGATGAGTTTACGTCTTACTTTTGAAACAAGACATAAAACTGTGGAATCATCAGTATCTTTGCCTAAATTGTAGAACAACCCATTCTAAAATCACCAAACGATATAAACTCGCAAAATGTTACAACCGTAGTCCCTTCTCATTTGTTCAATCTTCAATGAAATCAGCGAGCTACTGGTGTTATTTGTTGCTTGAAGCAGTGTCTTGTACCATACTTCGTGGTGTTGAAGTAGATTTTGATAGTTTATGTACCAAAACAAGAATGTAATCTGAATATTTTCAGTAGAATTAATTTGTCTTCAACAGACGCGTTACAATTCGCCTTCCATGAAACAGAGAGCTAGAAACCATGATTGTGTGGGTAATGCGGCGTCTTAAGGAATTAGATTATTCATGTTGAGAAATTTTGAAGCTTGTAGAAATAATTTGAATTAGCAAGAAGCGTTTTTAACTTTCGAGATCTTCATTTTCTGATTTTACTAATTGTTTAGTTCTACGTTCTACTAGTAATTAACTAATTACTATACATTCGATTGTTTTGTCAGAACAAAGATTTTCAGCTATTTCCACCAATCTTGTGTATCCGTATATATTAAAAGAAAATCATTACATCTTTCTAACTATAATACGTGTCATCACCGCTAGCAGAGCCAAAAAAATTCTTTTCGAGGGGTTAAGTTCATCATATGTACATATATTACATGAGTCAATTGGTAACATTTGATAGTTTTTTTTCTCCAAAATTCAAGTAATTTTTTTTGTTTATAAAATTTGACATGGTCATTTGACCCCCTACCAAAGAGCAGCCTCCACCACTGGTCATCACTAGACTGTTTCTCAAAAATTTTAGAAAAAAATGTTGGTCCATGTAACTATATAATATAATTTTTATTAAATTAACTAAAAACTATTATTAATACTCTTCATTCTTTTCTCAAATAAAAATTAAATAATTATTTAATATGATATATATATATATATATATATATATATATATGAAAATTAAGGATTTCGAAGAAGAAATATTTGATAAAAAAATTATATACACTCTAATCTTTTTGCTAAATTTATATTAAAAAAATAAATTTAAAAATTACAGTAATTATATAATACAAGAAATTAGATTATTTTGTATATGTTATATTTTGAAATAAAATCTTTAAATTTCAACATAGATTTTTTGTGATTAATAATTTTTTTGTTATAACAAGATACCAACGATTATACAATCAATAAGTATGAAGTATTATTTAATAGATATTCAATATATATATATATATATATATATATATATAATTTTCTAATGACGTTTAAATTAAATTATATACTATCAAAATTGCATTGAACAAGTATTGACAACTTAATATTTTAGTTTCAAACTTTGAATTGAATTTTTTTAATGTTTATGAATTACTATAAATATTAAACCTCTCATGTTAAAGATTATGTTATCAGTGGTTTAAAAAATGTTATTAATAGTTTAAAAAATTTGTTATAAAATATACAAATGATCATAAAGTATATAAATATGAAGCTTGATTTAATATATATATATATACAAATTAAAAATATACCATATATATTTATGTTAATATCATTTATTTTTTAGATTTACTTATATAAAGTGATTATAAATATAAAAGTTTGAATTTTGTTTATGTGAGCTAGCTAATTTTATTATATACATAATATGTACTAATTTTTAATTATACAATATATATATATATGTATTATTTTATAATATGTATAATATAATATAAATAATAATATATAAAATAATTCTTATATATAATTTCCACATAGAAGAACGCAATGTGTGGATCTTAACATAATAGTATAAATAAAGCCTAAGTTCTAATCTAATAAAAATGTCGTTTATGAAATTAGACAGGCCTCAAGGCCCTCAACATTTGACCTTTGAGAACCAATACCGAATCACACGTTTTCTCCTACTATCCTTTTTTTTAACAAAAACTATTTATTTAAATAAAATATAAAATTACAACAAGGGTATATAAAATAATAGAATTACAATTAAATACAAAACTAAAATTAGAAAATATTATAACACAAAGATTAAAATCTAAAGAAGCTTTCTTCTGAACCATCTTGTTTCTTCTTATTTTTTCATATTATCTTTTTTTTTATGAGGTTTAGTGTAATATTCAAAATTGAAACTCAAATTTGCAGTTTGCCTATTGATGGATGTTAATGGTCCAAGTCATACAATTACGCCTGTAAATTTTCAAAATGTCTTTCTTCAAATGACACACTTTCTGCTAGTTACAGAGAAATCAGACTTATTGCCTATACCTACTTCATTTTTTTCCACATATTTGTTAGATTTTTAATGCTAAAAATATTATCAAATAATAATATTTTTGAAAATATAATATAAAAAATTATAACAGATAAAATAATTTTAACATTTGATATAATTGAAAACATAAATTACAATTGATTGCAAGATTTCAACATTTCTAAAATCTACACTTTAGTTATAAATTCGATATTAGTGTTAGATTAATTGTTAGTGGTTAATTCATCTGTTAACTGATGCATGTTTTGTTACCTGATAAATTTTCTCAGTTCTAAGAGAGAAATTGAAACTTCGACATTATTTATTTGTTAACATATAATACCTAACGCATGTATTGACATCTACGAATTTGTTAACAACTAACACCTCTATTAACAATGATGGTACATGTATTTGTTAACAACTAAGTTATCTGTTAACATCTACAAAATTTGTTAGCTGTTAATGTCTCTACTAATACACTGATATATATATTTGTTAACAGCTAACACTGCATTATTTTCTATATATATTATTAACAATACATCTATTAATATTATATATAGCAAATAATAATTTGAAATTTCAAGACAAAAAAGATAAAGAAAAGAACAAAAAAATAGAAGAGGGAATGACAAAAAAAAAGATGATGAGAGAGTTTGAAGGCGAGAAAGAAATGAAATCGAAGGAAAAAGAGAATGTCAGAAGAGAGAGTGTCAGGAGAGAGACTCGTGAGAGAAAAACATAAATGCATTCTGATCATTAATTTAGAAGAACTATATCATGGATATTTTACTAATTAGAAGAGTGATTTAGGGTGTCTCAGCAAATTATCTCTTTTTTTTTATCTACTATATCTTATCCATCTTATTAATCTATAGGTAATGTTGGAAATAAAAATTGGCTGTAATAGGTAAAATAATCTGAAACTTGAAACAAAAATTTTGAAAAAGAATCTGTAGGTAATGTTGGAAATAAATTACAATTAGTGAAGTCAAAGGCTGTAATAGGTAAAATAACAAGAAATTGGTGAAGTTAGGATAAAAAAAATGATATAGGAAGGGAAAAAAAAACAGAATATCATTCATTCCAATAATTCATAACCAAATTTGTTATGAAATGTTTCTCTTTATATTTTATCTATTTATTTGTGGAATTGATGGAATGAATATTCCATTTCGTTCATGTCAAATGGTGATTTAAAAAAAAATTAATGGAATAAGTCATTCAACACCATTCTATTAATATATTGAAAGTTTATGACTGTATAGAAGTTATAATACGTTAGAATTTTTCAGTTTTTCTTGTTATGAAATTTTGTATTTATTTTCTGACCAAAAATTCTCAATAAATTTAAATTATATATATATATATAAGTGGAAAAAACACAGTCACACTATGAATTCATATTACAATTGCGAAATTAAACATTAATATTGACTACTTTCCATTTTACGGTAAGTATATTACTTCTTTTAAGAAATGGAGACTGAATGCTTGAGTATCACTTCATGTGATACTTTGAATAACTCAAGAGTTTTATTTTTTTTGTATTCCTATCTATCAGCCCTAAAAAATATAGAACCCATTGACAATCAAGACAACGAATCCTCTTTCATGTTTTTTTATTGTGATTGTATTGTCTACTGAGTCAGTGAGTTGTGTAATGGAGAGTCTTACGAGAAAGATTCAGTTCGACTCTCTTATCCGAACAACATTCTCAGGGTCCGTTGTCTAACGCACTATGATGATCTAGGCTAACATTTGTTTCGTCATGGACAAACCTATGAATTTCAGTTTTTATGAAAGTATTCTCATGACCAAAATCAATTGTGTCTTTATGGCAGGGACCTGGTTTCAAGTTCTATGCACTCTTTAGGGCATATAAAGGTGGTGGTATCATTATCCACTATGGTAAGAAAAACTTTTGGGAGGCAAAAAATGGTATATATTTCACACATGGTAAATATTTTCTCAAACTAAAGTTGGTCCACCCAAGTCCTTTCACCAAAATTATTAAGTGGAGAAATATATATGT